ATTCCAGTTTATACAAATCATAAGTTCTACAAATGAGCTATTAATTTGCTTCCAAAAAGTGTTCTTTGCCAAACAAGTTGTAATGAAATCCTTATTTATTGTAGAACTTCCTTAACACATTTGCTTTATGGATTTATTCAAAGAGGTACTCCTTATTATAGCCTTGATGGGTGGGCATCAGCCTCCAGATTAACATCTTCTATAAAAACCACAATAGGAAAGGAAGACTGGATTCTTTAGTGAAAACCACAGGTACCTCTGTGAGACAGACATCTGAGGTTATGACCTGCTTCTTAGAGGACATACTTAAAAGAGAAAAATACCGGCAGCTGTCTTACAGTTGTTTTGTCTTAATGGTTTATCTTGTTATAAATGACCATCTTACCTAATTAGGGGCTGTTGTATGTGGTCTTTTGTTAATTGACCTTTCTACTGGACAGAGCAAGACTTTGGAATGAGAGAACCTATTAATTTTGGGGGATTGGTATAATTAGAGAAAGATGTGGTTTAGGAAGAGATCTAAATGAGTATTTCAATGATGTAAAACCATTTAGATCACTCTAATTATCCAAGCATTTTTTACTTTACTTTCTTCCCAATCCTTTAATATTAATAATTAACTAGGATTACTGAGTCATTTGGTTTTGGATTTTTAATCCCTCCAAAGTTCTATATGAATATATTGAAGTAGAGTGGTTAGAGCAGATGATCAATCAGAAGTCCATCTGATTTTGTAAGTCGTAGGAAAAGGTATATTTCCTAGAGGGAATATCAAGAAAGGGAATTAGCTTTATTGTTGTGTAGCTCTCCCTAAGGCCTAAAAACAAGAAACAAGCATGGAAGGGCAATGTCAAGATTTTAAAAACTTCTGACACCACATACTGCTTTCATTGCAAGCATTATAGTATCCAAGTAGACATCGTATTAGTTAGTAAACACACCAATTGAGGAACCAAAATTTGCATTAAATGGAAATGTGGTTTCCCTACTCTATGGGAAGACATTTCTTTTTTTTTTCTGGAAGCAAGCAACTACTTTCTTTGTATGCCCCACCCTCCCCCAGTCCTTCTCCTGTGGCACCAAGCCTCCTCTCCCCATCCGGATATTTCACCTTTTGTCTCTCCTGCCCTTCACTCCAAACGACTTTCCACCCACCCCTGGTCCCTGAGCTGCCCTTCTAGGTGCACAAGCAAAATGTTGGGCCAGTGCCAAAAGGGCAAAAGTGCCTCCTTTAGGAAACTATGAATTCCTGGCATCCAAAAGCTCCAAAGAGCGGCACCACCCTCACCTCCACCACGGATGGGTGCCCGTCTGTGCCAGGCAGCCTGAGGGAAGATGTTCCATAAGCAGACCGACAAGTTAGCATTTGTGAACATAATTCTAATGTTGTTTGGACGGTTTGTTTGCCAGAAACATCCCGTGTCCTGCTCTTTAATCCAGAGATCAAGAGATTCTTAACATCATGTCTTCTGAACTGCTTTGGGAGTTGAGGCAAAGTGCTTCCTCGGGGCAAGATTGCCTAACTTTGGAGAAGACAGGTTGATTTCCATACAGAGGCGCCTTGGTTGATCAGCACATGACTGCATGTCAACAGGAAGTGCTCCTCAGCATTTCTCAGTTTGTAAGACAGGGTAGAAACATCCCTGTCTGGCCTCTCTCTGCAGCCATGATGTGATAGGCCTTCTAGTTATGTTTGAGGGCTGCGTTATTGAACTATGACTTGGAGTCACCAGTGGTCACTGTCATCTGAAAGCTGTGTTTCCTGGGGTCCGGTAGGGCCCATATCTGGGTGGACCTCTGAGATGACAAATGATTCCTTCAGGGGGATGTTCCATGAGCTTCTGTGAGAACATGGTGGTTTGTGAAGGTTTATGGAGCTGAGCTAAATCCAGCTCCAAAGTAACAACAAAATTCTCAAGAGAGCTTTTCCTGTATTTGGTTTCCTTTTCACCAGAAGTAAGACTGGGACCTCTGGCATGTTTTATGTGAGAACCTGCCTGGAAGTAGGAGAATAGTTACAAAATGCCAGGATTTTCCATGATCCTGGGTCAGCCATTCTGTGAGCTTCCACAGATCCAATTCATTAGTAAGTGAGTAGTGTTGTTGTTATGTGTCATCGAATAGCTTTCGATGCTATAGTGACCCTATATAGCTATAGTATATAGCTATACTCATAGTGACCCTGTGTACAACAGCTCTGAACCCTGCCCTATCCTGAGCCAGTCTCCCTGTCTCTGACACACCTACCTTTATTACTCCAGATACTGTGTCAGTCTGTCTCATCTGGGGTCTTCCTCTCTTGTGCTGTCCCTCCATCTTTCAAAGCATGATGTCCTTCTCCAACGACTGGCCCTCATGGCCACATGCCCAAAGTATGTAAATGGAGTTTCAACATCCTTGCCTCCAAGGAACAGCTTGGTTTCAACCTCACCAGGACAGACCTGTTTATTCTCTTGGCAGTCCGTGGTTTGTTCAATGAATTGTCTGGGGGGAAAAATCAAGAGAAAGAGATTTGAAAGAAAGCTTTTAAGCCACATGCTTCAGAGAGTCTGAGTAGTTCATGAAGAATGTTGCTCTACAAGGAAGACTTGAGACCCCTACGCTTGAATTTGGTGAGGGTGTGGGCCAGCTTTGCAGTTTTATTTGTTTGCCTATATAATGGCTTGAAAGAGAAAAAGCTAGAAAGGGTGTGGTTCTCCAAGGCCTCCCCCAGATGCTAAGCTCTCCTGTGGCTTGTGTTGAGCCATTTCTGAATCTGAGGAGCCATATTTGTGAACCCTGGCTCCCACAGTCCTCTCAACTTCAAAGAGAGGATTTCAGATCTTGTTTGTGTGCCCTGGAGGCCTCGTGAGGCAGTGTTTTTGACAATGATGCCAGCTGATGCTAATTGGAGGTTGGTTTTCTGATGGGAGCCTGGTACCACCATTGGAGGTTTCACTATTTAAGCAAGGGCAGGGAGATACATGCATGCTTCCCCTTCGACACAGCTGAGTGCAGCTGGAACATTCTCTGCCTGAACTGTGTCCTTTTGCTCAGAGAGCCCACTTTGTAGTTCAGACGCTGAACATGATTTTCATGTCTGTCCCTTTTCTGCCCCCTCATTTTAGAAGGTGATGGATGAGTGCCAGAACCAGCGGGCCTGCCACCTCCTGGTAAACAGCCGTGTTTTTGGACCTGACCCTTGTCCAGGAAACAGTAAATACCTCCTGGTCTCCTTTAAATGCCAACCTAGTAAGTAACTTCAGAGTGGTGGACAGTGCATTTGGGGGGTGTGACTTCTCTGTTTCTTTCACCCTCTTGATGAAACTCTTTTGCCAGTTAGCACTTGTCTTATTTGGAAACTCTTGTTGATAGAAATGTTGAGGGACCCGTCCTCACTGTGTATGAGAACACATGTGTGTATGTTTGTGAATATGTGTGGATATGTGTTGGTGTATGTATGTGTATGCATGTGTACCCCCACTGTGCGTTTGTGTGCTCATACGAATCTCTGCATTAAAAAAAAATGTCCCTGAGTAACACTTGGTTGTACAGATGTTAAAGCTGCCAGGGTTGTGAGAGACTTGAATAGCTTTTTCTCAAAATGAGCAACTAGGTTTGTTTTTTTGTGTGTGTGTGAAAAAAATTTGTATTTAGAATTAGTCAGCTGGGCTTAGTTTAGATGATCCCAATTTTGTTGGCAACATCCAAAGCATCCTAGTTAGGAGCAAGTCAAACATAGGCCTTCTTCTCTCCATCAGACCTAATCAAGGTGTTGATCTCGGCCACATCAGTGTCATAGAGCTTCTTTACAGCTTGTTTAATTTGGTGCTTATTGGCCTTGACATCCACAATGAACACAAGTGTGTTGTTATTGTCTATCTTCTTCATGGCTGACTCAGTCAGTGGTCAGGGGGAGCTTGATGATGGCTTAGCGGTCAAGCTTGTTTCTCCTGGGAGCGCTCTTCCAGGGGTATCTGGGCTGCCTTCTGAGTCTCAGTATCTTAAGCCACCGGAAGGTGGGTGACTTGCGGATCATCTTTTTTTTTGGCTGTGGACGCTCTTCAGGACTGCCTTCTTGGCCTTTAATGTCTTTGCCTTGGCTTCAGTTTTGGGAGGGGCAGGGGCTTCCTTCTTCACTTTCGGCGCCATCTTTGTAGCAGCTAGTTCTTTTTATAGGCAAACTTTTCAAAGGCGGATCTCTCCACTAAGGGGAACTCTGGTAGCACAGTGGGAAGGGAGTTGCGCAAAGCCACAGGTTGGGGGGGAGGGGAAGGGGAAGGGGAGGGAGAGGCAGAGAGATCTATTACTAAAGGCTGCTTGTTTTTCTGAAATGGTAGGCCACAAGTTGGCAACAGCTGGACCTGCACTTCAGATCTCTATAACCGGACTTTTGCTTCGCTCATCTACAGTAGGGTCGTCTTTACTAGTGTATCACAGATTGAACTGCATCTCTCAAAAAGTTGTGTTGGTGTCCTGACCCCCAGGACCCAGGGATGTGACCATGCTTGGAAAAAGGATCTTGGAAAATGTGCTCAATTGCATTAGCATGAGGTCATGTCAGGATCGGGTAGGCCCTAATTCCATTTGATCGGTGTCCTTATTAAAGAGATGATGAGACACAGAGGGACAAGGGCAGAGACACAGCAAGGACAGAGGCAGGGATGGCATGGCGTTGCAGCCTGGGCCTAAAGAGGCAAGGAGGGAGAGGATCTTCTGCTGCGACCTTGACAGAGGCCCTGGCCCTGTCAATGCTCAGAACTCGGACTTTAGCCTTCAGAACTGGGAGACAATAAATCCCTGCCATTTAACCACTTCCCCATGGCAGCCCTCTCTAAGAAATGACTAACCAGTTTCCATCACCTCACCTGCAATCCGTGGTGAATCCGGGTGTGTACACGAGAGAGCTGCTGTGCTCCATACGTTTTCAGTGGTTGGTTTTTCAGAAGTAGATCACCAGGGATTTCTCCTCAGCAGCCTCTAAATGGGCTTGAACTGTCAACCTTTCCATTAACCTCCAAGCTCATTAACTGTTGGAACCACGCAGGGGCTCTGACAGTGTTTATTCTAATGAGGAAGAAAGAGAACATGGCTGGAGCAAACCCTTTTCTTCTGGTTCTGGCAATATCTTCCACTGTCTTTTGCCATTTCTGATACCCACGAGATTTTCAAGTGATCAGCCTTCTGCAGAGCACACATAATTCAGCAAGTGGGTGCACTTGTAAACGTAGAGGCTCTGCCTGAGAGAAACTGCGAGCCAAGTGTGGCATTAGAGGTGTCTAGGAGCTCTCAGGAGAAAAGAAAAAGACCAACACAACAAAAACAATCAAGTTATAAAACAACACCGTTTGACCAAAAATGTAAGGAACTATATAGTGTTTTACCCCATGCCCCAGGTCTATATACAGTCAGTAAACTCAGCTGTAATGGAAATTGCTAAACATGGTAAGTCATGATTGGTTGGTTGATTTGCTCTTTGGAAGGCTATTTTACCAGCTTGTTGGTGTTTACTAGCGAGTCCTGACTCATAGTCGATCCTCCTGCAGAGTTACAGAGGCAGTAAATCAGATGAGAGGAGATCTTTCTCCCACAGAGCAGCTGGTGGATTCAAACCATTTGCCTTTGGTTGGCAGTACAGTTTCTTACCATTAAACCACCAATCTTCACTAAACTTAAAAAAACTAGGGCCGTTGCCATCAAACTCATTGCAATTCATGACAAGCCCATGTGTATCCGAGCAGGACTGTGCTCCTTAGCGTGTTCAATAGCTGATCCTTCAGGAATAGATCTCTCCGTCTTTCTTCTGATATACCTGTGGGTGGGCTTAAACTGCCAACCTTTTGGATGGTAGTTAATGGTGCCACCCAAAAACTCCAGCAAACTTTACTAGGACTTGACTTTCCCTAATTTGGATCTTACTCTCCTCCCTCTCCAGATCTCACTCTGTTAGGTGATTCTCAGTTGATGTCCCTTTCTGCTGCATAGATGTTGTATGACCTTGGCCATTTTAAGGAAACTTTTGGAGTCTCCAGGACTCAATTATTACCATAGAGATCACATACCTTCTACAGAGAACTCTTGTAAAGTCTAGAAATAGAGTGGGCTTGATGATTGGGTACTATTACTCCAAAGGAACAAAACTACTTGTCTTGGAAGCAGGGATTGTGAATCTTTGTTTCATATACTCTGGTCATATTATCAGAAGGTGTCATTGCTTGGAAAAGGATGTCAAGCTTGGATAAGTAGAGAGTCATCGAAAGAAAGGGGCCCTTCAGAAAGACAAACTGACACTGGGACGACAACAATGGGCTTACCTGCCTGGAGATTATGAGGAAAGCCAGGATCAGGCAGTGTTTTGATCTGTTGTATTATGAGTCACTCTGAGTTGGACATGAGGGCGTCTAACGACAGCAAATCCTGATAAGCAGATTAAAGTAATTCTTATAAAGATATGAATGACTGAGAGGCTGTGATTCACCAAGAGCTGGGTGGGTGGGAAGTCCTCCCACATACAAATGGTTAATGCATTTAGCTGTTTACCAAAAGATGGCTGTTTTGGATTCACCTAGAGAGTCCTACAGAATGAAAAGCTTGGCGATTTCAGTGGCTGATCTCATTTCTTCAGGTAGTTTTCATTTCAGCAAGACTGTAGATTCAGTAAAGTTTTTTATTTCTGAAAAGTCAATCATTGGAAAATCCTTTGGTGTACAGTTCTGCTGATATACATGAGGCCCCCACGAATCAGAACTGACTGGACAGGAACTGGACAGGGGTTGTTTAGGAGAGAATGGGGGTAGGTATTTCAGAGGCAATGAAATTGGCTCAAAATAGAGCAGGATTCCGAGCTTTTTACATAGGGCCACTGTAAGTCGGAGTTGACTCAAGGCACATAATAACAAAGGGTGAGAAGAAACAGGCGGGAGTTGTCTGGCCAAAGCATAGGTAATAACAATAGCATTGTCTATAGAAAGCTGGAAAGTGCAGTACAGGTGACTAAATGTCTGTATTTTAATGTCATCATGCACTAGCCATTATAAACAATGTCTAATAAAAAGAACTCCTGTGTCCACAGACCACTCCCCCTGCCCACATTTGCATGGCTACCATTGTTGAGCAGATGTGGATATGCATTTGCATGGCAATTGCTGAGAAGCCTGCGGGAAGGCAGAACCACAGCAACTGATTGGTGGCATGAGACAGTGTTTCCTTGTTTGAAGAGCTGTTGTGGTTCTGCCTTCACCCAGGCCTCTGCCACTCCCCATCCCAACCCACCCTAGTGTTGGCACCACTTCTGGAAGAATGCCAAACACCTTTGCTAATCTGACATGAAAAGAGACCTCTGCCCCACCTCTCAGCAACTCCAGTCCTCTAAGAAAGGTAGCCAGACCCAGAATCCAGAAATGTCACTCTTCAATGACAATGAATTAGCACCTTTCTAAATGTATGGACTGGAAATTTTTCCATAATATGTTATAATTCCTAACTCTTGTGGCACCGTGATTTAGCATTTGGTGGTTAACCCAAAGATCAGCAGTTCAAACCTTCCAACTGAAGGAAGGCGAATGTGGCAATCTGCTTCTGCAAAGACTTATAGGCTCAGACATCCTTTGGAGATTGAATGGACAATGAGTTTTGGAGGGTATCATTGGAATGGATTTTATTTGTTTTGCTAATGAGATAGGATTAGTATAGGATGTGTCTTAAGTCATTATTGAAATAAAAAAAAAATTTAAAACACCCTACAGAACTGAGTCATAACTGAACCTCCATAGGGTTTTCTGAGACTATTAATCCCATGGGAGGAGATTGCTCATCTTTCTACTGAGTCAAGGGTGTATTCAGATGCCAGAGAAGCACCACCTTTGGGTGAGGAGTGTGGCTCCCTAGATGAGAGAGAACAAGTAAATAAGCAGCAGAGATGAGGGAGGTGAGACACCAAGCTGCATGGAGATTGCCCAGAAGCAAAAACTCAAGAGAGGCCAGTATCTTCCTTCAGAGTCAACAGAGAGCAAAAACAAGGCTTTCCTAGAGCCAGTGCCCTGAACTGCAACTTCTAACCTCCTGCACTGTATAAGACTCAATTTACTTAAGTCTTTCATTTGTGGTATTTCAGTTATGCCTTGTTGTTGTTATATATCATTGAGTAACTACAACTTACAGATACCCCGTAATCTAAACCTTCCTCTTCCTGTGCCATTTCCACCATGCTCACCAATCCTCACCATCTTCACCAGCGCTCAAGCCCATTGTTA